TATATATACACATGATGGAAAGTTCTGTACCTTTATATTTTAGAGAAAGTAAAATATAGCATTCGGAAGCTTGGATTTTATCAATAACTACAAAATTCTTATACGCGAATGTGCATAAAACATTGTGCTTGTTCTCTAATTTTATGTTTTGCTTCTTTCTTCTTTCATACTCCTCGAGTAGTTTTTTATGTATATCAAAGATACAAGGTTCACATGCACTGTGACAACAGTCTTCCTGTGTTGGTGTTACTGGCCTACTGTTTTCATTGTCATTATTAGTGTACATGCTATTCTGAACAATATATCAGTTTTGTATATTGCTTCGGAATAAAATTTTCATATATATCAGTAGTGTTCAAGCACTAATTGTATATTAAATTATACCTTCCTATTTGGTTATGTTATGGCAAAGAAAATTTCTTAGTATTATACACAAATTACAGATCCTCTTTTTAACCATATTTAGCGATAAGCGCGATAAGAAAGATCGCAAGCATGTTTCAAGGTTGCATTGTAAAATCACATAACACACTTGCAGAGTGTAATCCATATATATATATATATATAATATGACTCATACAATTTAAGAGTGTCGGCAATCATCTGTTCAGCTTCAGCTGTCAAATAATATTTTTGTGTTATTCACAATGAAACATATGGAAGGTAGTATGTAGTGATACGTGCTAGTATTTATGTTATTATACAAGAAAGTACGTAAAAAAGCAAGATGGAACAAGTGACTTCAGGATGGAGACGTTATGCACTAGTGCAACCGCCTATTATGATATTAATATTTGCTCAAGCAATAACAAGTAATTGTATACATTGTATACATTCTTAATGAAATAAAGAACAGACGATTACCCTGTTTACTAATAGCATTGTTTAATTTTACTTGAAATTTCAGGCAATATTTTCACAGATTTAATAGTATATCGTACCTGTAGCGTGATATTAAATATGAATGAGACAGAATGTTTGTTACTACATAAAAATAGTAGTTCTGCAGAGGCGTTAAAAATAGATGCTCAAGCTCAACCCAAAGCAAGCTTAATTATAATGACTAAATCAATAATCGAAAGCATAATACCTGCTTTATTATCATTATTCCTGGGTCCATGGAGCGATATGTACGGCAGAAAGTCTATTATGCTGGCTGGATATGCTGGTTAGTACAATAACATTTTTTAAGAGACTAAAAGTTGAATTTTTAGTAGCTGAGTGTCCACAATCTATATTATAGGTATTTCAATGAGTTCTTTCATTTTATCCTTCATGACTCTCTGGGATATCAATCCTTGGTTCATGTTAATTGCTTCTCTGCCTTATACGTGCCTTGGAGGATTTTGCGTAATTTTATTAGGTAGTATTTGCTATATAACTGATATATCACATGAACAAGAAAGAGGGTGGCAATTAGCTTGGATGGATGCTTTAATATTCACTGGTGCTGTAACTGGTATATTAGCTGGTCCTGTAATATATCAAGCATATGGATATACAGCCGTATTTGTTTGCTCCACCCTATGCTGCATCTTAGCTGGATTGTATGTTTGTTTTTTGGTTCCAGAGACTATACGCAACACAGATTCAGTATGTATTTTGGAAATTCCTTATAATATGTCCTTTACATCTCTCTGTGATTATAGGGAACAGTGAAGAGTTTATTCGATACACGTTTGGTAAAAGAACTCTTCAGTACATGTACCAAGGAACGAGATGGTTTTAATCGGTACATAGTCTGGTGTTGCATACTTTGCATTACTCTGAGAGTCATTATTATGGAAGGTGAATCCACCATCGGGTTTTTATTTGCTAGTGCCAGGCTCGGCTGGGACGTGAAGAAATACTCTATTTACATGGCTATGAATATGATATTTGCTATTGTTGGGATAATGTTTGGAGTAAAGCTTTTGGTAACGTACGGAGGTACATCAATTGCATTCGAGGAATATAAACAACGAGAAATATTTGTTAAAGAGAAAAATACTTTCGTAGGAATATCCGAAAAAGTTGCAGTTATATTGTCGTCGTTGTCTTCCTTATGCTTTTCCTTGGTTCTAAGTTTCACATGGAAATCCTGGCAAATGTACCTGGCTACAGCATTAGGAATATTCGGCAGCGTTTCCAATCCTATGCTGCGTACTATATTATCTAAATCAGTGCCTCCAGTAGATACTGGTAAGAATCATAATATCAAACTACTAATGTATTTTCAACGTTCCAAGAAGAATTTCAATAATGGTTCGAAAATATTGTAGGTAAAATATTTTCTATGACAGTGTCTATCGAAACACTGACTCCACTTGTCGCAGCCTCTTTGTACAGTTTGATTTATTCACATTTTATGCCACCCTTGTATCCAGTACCTGTGTGGTTACTTTCCGTCGGAATTAACATTATTATGATACTTATCGTAATGAGTATGAAAGAATCCAGCACAATAAGACATACGCCATTGATCGAAGATGTTAACACATTGCCATAAATCTTGATAAACATTTATAACGTATACTTATACTTACAATGGAATGATTGTAGTTTTAACACTTTTTACTTGTTATTACTTATATAATATACTCTTAGTTCAAATATTTTTAAACATACATTGCACGCTCGATTTTTGTAACATAATAATGAGACAAATAAAATGTATTACTATATTGTTAAACTACTTTAATAAATTGTTCATTAAAATGTTTCTCAATATTCTTTGCGATTACAATAGGAATGTGAACGGCTCGTATCCATTTTGCGCAATTTATAATTCATCGAAATAATCGACGTGATCGCCAGACGTATATTTTTGTTCTTTAAGAACTGTTAAAAGACGATTAACTGTTTGTTCGCAAGTTAAGACGGTTCTTTCGGTTCGCATCGCATTGAACTGCTCTCTAGCTTCCTTGTCAGCAAGTTCATTACAGACTTCCTGATACATATCAGTCTCAACCGGACCTGGTGAGTAATTTAATACGTTGATCTGTGGGTTTTCCAAGGCAAACACCTGGACAGTATGAAATTCGATAAGTATACTCCGGACAGAACTATAAATAAATAAATAAATAATTTTATGAATCATTACTTTAAAGAACATTTCTCGTGCTGCTTTTCCAGTACAATAATAACCCATTGATCTTCTTGGTTTTATACCCAACAACGATGTAATGTTAATAATAGTTTTTTCAGTATTTGTATTTTCATTAAATATTTTCATGATAACTCCATTTAATATAGCAGGGCCAAATACATTTAAATCATAATAATCATGCCAATTATTAATGTTCGTCAAATCATTCGCATACTGATTAATATTTCCCATTGTACCAACATTGTGTATTACAACTACTCTATCGAACTGATCTGCAGGTTTGTCTTTTAAAGATTGCACTACGATGTCTAAAAACGGAACGTATTAAATATTTAATATACAGATATAAGGCATAGATAATAAGTAAATCTGCCTACCATGTAATTTATCGCTCGTTGGTTTACTCAGATCAATACTGACAGTGTCAACAGATACACCAGCAGGAATATTCTTTGCTGTTTCTTTTAAAGCATTCAAGTTTGTTGCTAGCAACAGAACATGCGAACCCTTTTCAAGAACTGAACTAATTGTTATTGCTATTTGCTTCCCAATTCCGCGACTTGCGCCGGTTATTACAAGAAACACTTTCCCTGACAATACTTTGATCGACATGTTTATTATAAGATTATTTACTAGATTCTTTCAGTTACTATTTGTTTCGTTCAGTAGCTTATCAATCTTTTGTTCTTCAGTTTCACTGATTACTTGAAGAACATCTGCTTTTAACAGATGAACTAATTCACTAGCAGTTAATGCCTAAGTTAAAGAAATAACAGTATATGACATTCTTATTAACATGTAAAATGTATTTCAACAATAAATAGACTACCTGTAAGTGAGGTACTATGTGCCTTATTAAAGGATTTGAGGAAAGTTCAATTTCTTCCTCTGTTTCAATCTTATGTCCAGAAGTTATTAAACGTGCAATACAATCTTCTTTTGCTACAGACAAGGATGACACAAGATCTTTCTTTGATGTACCTTTCTGAAGATTTCTAAGTCTCGAGTCTATAACATGATTTTTATTGTTTGTAACGTCATACAAATTACACAAAATAAATCATGTAAAATAGAACAAATGTAAAATTTAACATATACATAACATAAACTAAGAAAGATTGTTAATTTATGAGATTTAGCTCAGATCGTAACAGTTGAATTCCATATGGTATATAATCTCGAGAAATAATGTAATAAATTAGTTGATGTACATTTATTGGAACTTACAAAGTTTTGCCAAGTATTCTTCCGAATCGTCTAATTTGCTGTAATCTGATTGACTTTCTACAAAAGAGTCTTCGAAACCAGTTTTACATTTATCGTTACTTTCTTGCGGTACGTCCGTTTCGCACCATGGATCGGCAATATCTGTCTTCATGTTTTATGTAACTATTAATCCCTCTCTTTCTTTTAAATGAAGGTCATGAATATTAACTGAATTTTACAATAACGTTACTTCCAAACCAGATAAAAGAAGAATCAGACCAAACCGATACAGTGGAAATCAGTGGAAATAACAGACGGGAGGTTACTTATCTGAGCTTACAGTTCAAAATGCGACTGACAAGTGACGACTACGAATGCAACTATCAACTATGTTATATGCAGTTATATGTGATAATGATCATAGCAGGAAATATATTTTTATAACATTATATAATGTTATAAAATGTATGAATTATAGATTTTTATATATTACATTATGAAATAAATATTTTAGATTAATTTTAGGTCAGAATCTTTTCTGAATAATTTATTATTGGTATAGAAATATACAATAGAGAACAATTGACATAAATTCATGATTAATTAAAAGCATAGCCTAATATAGAAAAATGTTTACAAAAATATGATTCACTTTATTATATAAGCAATTATTAATACTATTCATTACAATGTTGACATACCTCAGTCTAAAATAGTTTGTGAACAAGTCTGTAGAATGCATATTTACGAAGTACATATACATATATATGTAATATGCATGTTATGTTTCATTTAAATACCATAAGAAAGATTGTTAATTTATGAGATTTAGCTCAGATCGTAACAGTTGAATTCCATATGGTATATAATCTCGAGAAATAATGTAATAAATTAGTTGATGTACATTTATTGGAACTTACAAAGTTTTGCCAAGTATTCTTCCGAATCGTCTAATTTGCTGTAATCTGATTGACTTTCTACAAAAGAGTCTTCGAAACCAGTTTTACATTTATCGTTACTTTCTTGCGGTACGTCCGTTTCGCACCATGGATCGGCAATATCTGTCTTCATGTTTTATGTAACTATTAATCCCTCTCTTTCTTTTAAATGAAGGTCATGAATATTAACTGAATTTTACAATAACGTTACTTCCAAACCAGATAAAAGAAGAATCAGACCAAACCGATACAGTGGAAATCAGTGGAAATAACAGACGGGAGGTTACTTATCTGAGCTTACAGTTCAAAATGCGACTGACAAGTGACGACTACGAATGCAACTATCAACTATGTTATATGCAGTTATATGTGATAATGATCATAGCAGGAAATATATTTTTATAACATTATATAATGTTATAAAATGTATGAATTATAGATTTTTATATATTACATTATGAAATAAATATTTTAGATTAATTTTAGGTCAGAATCTTTTCTGAATAATTTATTATTGGTATAGAAATATACAATAGAGAACAATTGACATAAATTCATGATTAATTAAAAGCATAGCCTAATATAGAAAAATGTTTACAAAAATATGATTCACTTTATTATATAAGCAATTATTAATACTATTCATTACAATGTTGACATACCTCAGTCTAAAATAGTTTGTGAACAAGTCTGTAGAATGCATATTTACGAAGTACATATACATATATATGTAATATGCATGTTATGTTTCATTTAAATACCACATTTTTATAATATAATAAGAATACGAATTCATATATGAATATTATTAAGAATTTAATACAAAATTTTACTTATAGAAATAACAATATTACCCATGTAACATTTACGTAGATTTAAGTATCCCGATTTTTTCATTGATAATAAATATTATGATATAGGAAAGTATTTACCAAGCTGTTTGGTACAAATACATGTCAAATGTATAAAAAATATTAAAATATATAAACATAATCTTGCAATAAACAAGTGTGTATGTAGAACCAAATTAAGTGTGATGTAAAAGAACATTCATTTTAAAAATCATGATTACACATGCCTCGAATATTGAAAATATTTGTCAGTGATGACAAGTAATATGCACATATAATGTATACCATACACTACATTAATTAGACATCAATTTTATGCACAGATTAGTTTCCTTTTTCTACAAAAGCGTATACACAATTCATAGTGTTAATATCAAAGATTTGAGGAACATTGGTTCTACAAGTAGAGCTTTAAAAATATGTGAAACTTAGTCGGCATAATAGTCGCAAATACTTTATACACATTTCATCAAATTATTGCTACAGTTGAAATAATTAAATTCGTAAAACATAAATTACTTTTATCTAAAGTGAAGTATAAGCGAACAGTTAGTTTCTATACTTGTGTAAATTAAATTACTTAAAGATGCAACGGCTTGAGCAATGATATGTTCAACACATTAAAAACATGAAGACTGATGAAGTCGTACAAACTTTAAATAGAAATGATTAACGCGGTTATTATGCTTTTTTTCAACGTCGACATTATTAGTCTTTATATTGCTACCCTAATTTCACTACTTCTCATAAGTATTCTTTCGAACAGAAAAGTCTAAATAACAACACAGATATTGAATACATATCATTTAAAATTCAATTCAATGAATTTCCGATATAATTTGGTCTCTGTGATAGTTATCAAATGGAAGAAGACCTAGGATATTTTTAACAGTTTTGTATATACCTCTCATCTTTCCTGTACAAAAATTATTGTACCTGACAAAATTTAAAATCTTAAAATCACAGCACTTACTAATATTTTCAACACTATGTACCCTCTGTAAATATTTCATGAAAACGTTATGTAAAGAAAAAGAAATTTAGTGTCAGATAAATTGCTCATGCATATACTATGTCATACGAAAATGTGTCGTTGATTTCATATATATGCATAATAATGTGTATAATTATAGTCTCAAAATGATGTTATATGATACATATGTATATCTTGTACATTAATCATGTCTATAAAAATTGTAGCGATCCTTTACACTCTATTTTTCAATGATAAAAAATATTTTTACACTATTTTCGAATCATTTATGAGATCCTTTAATGTATGAAATCATTATTAAAACGATCAATAATGTAAACATTTTGATTGCTATTTATGATTATTAAAAGCGAGTGTAAAGAGCTAGCACTTAAAATAACTATCAGATTTCCTGATTCATAGAAACTTTGCAGCACAAGATGCACAATTAAATATTTCACTTTATATAATAATTAACTGTTAATGCTAGAATCAATGATACTACATATGTATAGAGAAAAAATCACAACCGGCAAGTAGCCAATTACGTACTAATAACAAAAATACGATTAATGTAATAATAAATTATGCCAAGCCTGGCTTCAGGAATTTTATGAATGGCGTACAACTTGGCTATCAGAATCTATATTTCATATCTATAGAAAGGAGCAAAAAATATTCTGAATGTTTCATAAAATGAAGTTCAAGTTTTCATCAAAAATCAATTAAT